TGCTTTCAGGCATTCACATACAATGCAACAAAGCATTGAACATTGCTGGTCTTGTGTAAAAGGTACATTGTAGAATGCCAATGTACACATGTTGCTGAGCAATAGACCTTTCTTTCTCCCGCCAAAGGGGAAGAAGACAAACATACCAAGCCAACTTTACAATCACCCAGTCAATTCTCACTCTACCCCCCCCCCCCCTCCCCTCCCCAAACCCTACAATCTCTCAATCTCTCTCTCTCTCTCTCTCTCTCTGCTTACCCCACCCTGCCACCCATTCCCCTTCCCAATTAATGTATGCACAAAAGGGAGCCTTTAGTTAGCCCCATGTAGTCTATTGCTCGATCTAAGGACCCAACACGTTTGTTGACTCTCTTTTTATCACTTTGTTTGTCCCTTTTGTTGACCAATCCAGTGACTAAGCTATAACCCTTTCCATCTCTCATTAGCCCCATCCAATTACACACTGTATAAGGTACTCAGCGTTTACCTCCAAAGAGGCGGCCATTCAGACCACCCCCTCTTCCTTTGTCAGGGTGGGGCCAATATTGGTTGGGGGAAAGAGGGTTTTGGGTGGTAATTGAAAGAGTGTGCTCTTCAACTCTGCCCCTTTTGACTTGTACTCAAGAAGCACTTCCAACCCACACCCAATATTATTGATCATCTTCACATAGTTACAGCACACCATCAACCCTACCTAGGGTACCGGTATCACCAGTATACAAGTGTTGTAACTTGTATTAGACATTAAGGTAGTAAGGTACGATCTCCCATTGCCAAACCTACAGCCTGTGATCCAACATTCACCCCAGATTTTAATTCACGATTCATCAAATCTATCATAGGGCTAGGGTTGCGACTTGCAAATGAATTTTGAGGTAAAGTTTAGAAAAAAGGTGAGATCCATCGTTTGGTTCAAGATTGAAATTGGAGTTTAGGTTAGCATTGGATATTGACAGAATAGCAATTGTCAATGATGAACTGTGTTTTAAAACTGTCATGTACAAATTGTAGTAGCTTTAATAACTACATTCAAGTAGTTTTGGGTAAACTTCCAGCAAAAAGTACGTAACCTCGATATAGTCAGTAATCAAAAGTAATACTTTGTTAAGTTTGTTTCACATTACTACAAATACAATTGTCTTGCAAGACTAGGTTTAGAGACAAATTTAAAGTGTTGAAAAAAGCTGTTTTAAAATCTTTCAATGAGCATCAGATTCATAACTGCTACCAGTCTTTTAGAAGTCTTTAGCCGGACAAATTCTGGGTCCCTCCAACACCATAACATAATATGAAAAGAACAACAATAAAATCACTGTCACTTACATGTACAGTTCAAGGGAATCTTACAGCAAGTTCATGCCAAAAAAAGGCACAAATGATTTCTTTGTCTGGATATAGGGTATAATCTTATCTATGAATAAACTGTTTGATAACTCGCTGGAGCCAAAGAATTGTCAGAACCCAGCCCACTGAAAACGCATGTGAGTTCAAAGATAAGGTAGCCTTCAATGGGTTTTAAATGAAATATGTATCTTTGCAAGGGTGTACATTTCAGTACTTGTAATCTGTCATGTCTGGGTATACATGTAATTCTGCAGGTAACTTTCTAAGATTACTGGTGAGGACTTTCAAGTATAGATGTCTGATCATTAGAATGTAGGCAACATAATGTCTATTGCATTATTTGTATACAATGAATGTACACACATGACTATAAACCCAGTTGTTTGGGGAATCCCAAATGCATGAAAAGTACACAGTCTTTATCAGCTGATATAACTATATATATAGTTCAAATATCATAAAGATATACACGTCTATCTACTACTAGACAACTAGAATGGTAACCATAAGAATTTTTTTGTTTTGTTCCTTCACTATTTTTTCCTGCAAGGCAGACTTCACTGTATTCTTAAAATGATTACCATAGACTACAATGTACATTGTGCATGTACACATACATCGTACATGTAATTTAGGTGTTGTATAGTTATTTCTATGGCTACAATTCTTTGTCCTTTGGATATCTCATTTTCCATCAAACATCCATAATTTATTGATTCAATTCATTCAATTCATTCAAGCCTCAGTCTGGGAAACTAGAGCAATTACATTAGGGCGAGAGATAAATGGTGCAAAAACAACGCATCTATCTCATTACATGTAGGTAATCTCCAACCTTCAATGTTAAATATATCCTAAGCCTTGGACATGTACAATGTTATGATAACAGAATGGTAAGGGACCTAATAATTACTATGAAACAACTTGGCAGGACAGGATTAATCAATATGACTGCGACAACAACTTGTATGGATAAAAGTATCGCATTAAGCACACAAAATAAAAATAAAATGCTATTTGGCTCTGAACAATCAGAATAGTATTTCCGGATCATTGGAGTACAAAGAATAGCATTCCATACTTTAATCATAAGCTTTAATATGTATTTGACCTCGGAATTAAGTAAGGTATGAATTGTGTGTGGGTTTCGCCCTACCCTCACTGGTATTGTCAATAAATATATTCTATGGTTGTTGTTTGAGTTGATTGCTCAAAAACAAAATGTTTCACAAGGAAATCATAAAACTTCATACAAATGCAGGTTTCTAATAGACCCATGTGTAATGTACATACACTGACTCAATGATCCTTTTAGGAACACTATATTCTTTATTCTTACTATCATTTATATGAACTTTATTTTATTTTACTACTTTGGACAAGATTGTGCATCTTAGCTCATCACAACAGCCTATCTCCACGGGGAAATGAAATAGGAGTTGGCCCATTGATTTTATGTCTCCTTGCTGTGCTGCTCATTTATGTTCAATGTCGCCTGAATACAATGTACCTTAGTAAAATGATGATGTTAAAATGAGAAACCCGATCTATGATTTGCATTTAATGCCTCTGGCATTCAATACAGTATCCTGTTTGGGGAAGGGCACACAATGTATTTTGTATAGATTTAGTGCGGGTCGAATGAATCTACGCACAGGAGATTCATTGAATCATAACTAAAAACACAGTAACAATGACTACACTATTTCCCTGTTCAAAGTCTGCATATCTATACTCATTCCATTCACAGAAATGTTTGAATATGGAAATTTTTATCACAGTGACGTGGATGGCCGGTAAATAAATACAAATGAGTACATGGCACATGCTTTGTTTATTCAAAGCTAGCTTCACCCTAAATTGATTTCTTGCATTGTACATCAGAGTGCTATATGCCAGTATTTTGACCAGGCCTGACAGAAGTTTGGACATCAACTTCCCAGCACTTGTCCTATTGTCTTAATGTATTGTAAATGAATTAATATTCTATACAGTGTTCTGGTTCTAAGCACACAGTACTTTTTTTTAGTTTCCCAGGCAAATCATTTGAGATTTGATATATCACACCATGCATACATTGTACATTTACCATAGCAGTTGGCAACGCCTCGGTGTTACGTTCAAGTCTTTGAATAATACTGGTTCATCATTACAAGCTTAACAATGAAAATAATTCATAATAAAATTATTCACAGGATGAAGTTGTACAAATATGAAGCTACTCTTCAAAGAATCAATTATACTAATTTACATAATTGCGAAGGGTACAGGCTCCATAATACACATGTTACTATGTCCTTTTTTCAAGGGGCGGGGGTCATGAATTACCTTTTCTCATGTCAACAATGCATCATAAACATTTAGAAAATATTTGAGGGGTCTGTGACTATGTGTGTGTACCGGGATGACCCCTATGCGTACTTGGCTCTGGAAAGACCTACTCACATCGTCTGCAAAGATACTACTGTACTCAAGATCACTCTCAATCACTTACGACAAGACTTTAATTTTTTTACGGTTCCTTTGACAGATTTCAAATGAACTTCAGAGACTCAGACAGTCCATCATTCCAACCTTTAAACTGTTTTTCTTTATTGGCAATAGATTGCCGCCCATAGAGCTTATTTCCCTCCGCTCATCAAGGTAACATGGATGAGAGCCAACCGCGATGACTTGGCTCGTACAATAATTCATAGGATTATCTCAATTAACCTTTCCAACGTAGCAGGTGTCCCTATTACAGGGATTAACACACCTTGCTATTGCCTGAAAATTGGCATCCCTGTACACAGGTTACACACCCAGAATAACCAGGGGATTTACAACTCTTACATATTTTGTTGCTGTTGTTGATTCTGCTACTTGTAATGCTCCCATAGACCCCTCTCTATGTCACAGAAAATTGAAACCTGAACAAGATTTTATATAAATTGTTTTTTTAGATGTGTTTCCATTATAATGAATGTGTGCATTTCTTCTGGTTTAAAATCAAGTGTTTACAATTCTTAAAAAAAACAAAGATGTGTTTCCATTATAACGAATGTGTGCATTTCTTCTGGTTTAAAATCAAGTGTTTACAATTCATTCCTTGACCTGGGCATGGACATTTGTGCTAGACTCGGGAGGGTTAAGAGGGAATTACAGTTAAACCTGTCTTGGCGATTACCTATAAATAAATTCCACCTGCCAACAGTTTTTTCCTACATGTATATTGTCTCCCTCTATGGCAAGAAGTATTTTGTAAATGTAGGGTGTTTTGAAGATCCAACTGGCTAGAGTGATCATGTGTAGTGTTTATCCTGGCTGGTCTTTACTACACATTTGACCAGTTTGACCAGTAGTATAGCACAAGTTTACACAACTGGGGGGGGGGGGGGCGCAGGGACAATTGGGGGCAGTCTTACTCAAAAAATGAATTTTGTAGCAAATTTACAAGTTACTGATATGGTGTTGGGGGAAATTGTCTAGGAATCTTTGTTTCTCATCCTTATCCCCATCTCTAATTTCCTTTCCTCTCTTCCCTCTTTTTCTTTCTTGAATGTTTTTGCAGGATTTGCTTGGAGGGATGTGCCCCCATGCCCCCTCCCCTGCAGCTACGCCACTGGCTTTGACTGTAATTTGAACAATTTAAAGAAGAGTTTTTTTTGTTTGCATACCTGGAGCGTCTTGTTGTGGTATCCCTCATGATGACGCATTCCTTCACCTCTCCAAACTGACAGAAATACTTCCTAAGACCATCTGAAATCATTCAACAACAACAAAAAACAGAATTAGTCATATATTTCTGATACAGGTATTCTGGCTCCAAACAGACACTAATTTCTATATTTTTATAATACAACTGAGCCAAGAATGGAGAAAAAAAATACATCTGCGGAATTAACAAGATTTGTTCTGATAGATACATCTCACATAGCCATGTATACATGTACGTTGTATTGTATGTACAATAACAAAATATCTTAACATCTAAACTTAATACAAACACAGAACAGAATCCATATGATTTCCTTTTTAATACCTCTTAAAAAGGTATGACAAATTACACCTTAGCATTTGAATTGATATACACTTAAAAACAGAATCAATAACGTTGTTTTCCTTTTTTTTAATATATACCCCTGGCACTGGTGTGACATCAGCACATCTAAAAATAATTCCCCGAAATTATAGAACCCATGTGATTTGTTTTGATAATACCCAGGGTACCACAAGCATTAAAACACTCCACCTTAGCAATATTTTCACTATTTCCTCTCAAAAGGGCATTTATAGATTTCCTGCTGTCTACACTTGATCAAAATCCAATTGAGCGGTATAAATTTGTAAGTTTGTACTTTCCGCAGTACCCTTAAATACCCTGCCAGATGTTCGGTCATATTCAGAAAAGACCTATACACATCCTTTCTTGGTTCCGAATCTCATTTTATGAACCCAACATATGAACGATTCGTATTTCATTGACGGCACAGAATAAAGGGCATTGCTTGTATTGAATACAGGAATGTAAATACCGGTAGCACCTAAATTTGTATTCTACCAGATTTCTCTAAACAAATATATAACAGGTATATCAGCCTGGACATGACAATATATAAATTGTGATATAGGGCAGGAAATTTTTTTCTTTCTGTTTTCTGGACTGTAGCAAGTTGCTTTGTTGTATCTCATTGTAGTTTGTAATCATTTCTTCTATATTTCTCACTTAAATTGTTGGCAATTAATACACCAATATTTCAAATTAATAAGTACATCAATTGGATATATTTTCTGCAAATGCAAAAATCACCATTTTTCAAACAGGGAATGCTAGTAGGTGTTAGACACTATATAAGCACTATAATTATTTATTATTATTATTGGCTCATTTGTTTATATTTTGTATGCCTATTTTGTTCCAGCATATATTTTTCAATCAATATTCTTTACCCAAAATATATACTTGTAATGTATGTGCCTTACTTTTATTTATATTTCACATTCTTCCAAATCAAGGCAACAACAAAAATATATGCAACTCTTCAAAATTACTGAGATAAGATTCTTTTTTCTTTAACCCAATTTTTTTTTAAATTCTAGCATTTCAGATATATAATCCATTCTTTAGAAATGACAAATTATTATGTTTGTTGGTGGAACTGAATTGTATATAGTTTTTCCTGTCAACAATATTATATATATTACTATAAAATATTATATTTTATAATTAATTTCTTACAGCATAATAATTTTCTAAATCCTTCTGAGATTAGTAAGCTTTACTTGAAACCATAATCTATTTTAGTTTCACCGTGCAAGCCTGCAGCGAGAATGTTAACACATTAACGTGTATGAAACTATATATTATTATACTGCGAGTGACATCTAGTAATATATCAATATTATAATATCGTTCACGGATTAATATTTCTATCGCATCCTTACCCGTGCTTGTCTCCCAGCTTAGTCCTCCAACAAACATTTTCCTGTGAAAGAGAGAAGAGAATAGTCATCTGTAATATCCAATTCAAGAGATATATATCCATCATCGTATGCATGAATAATTAATTCATAATCCAAAACAAGTGTAGGAGATCGCATGGGGAATTCTCGCTCGCTGCAACGTGTACGGGCATTCCATTGTCAACGTAAACCAGCTGTTGTGTAGCGCGTTCCACACGCGAGTATAATCGGGGCATCGGGCTATGGCTGGGCGACAAATCGAGCTCACTGCCTCCACGTTTGAGCCACTTTATCTCCAATTTTCAACATTTTCACACTAAATCCATACTTACCCTGGGTCGTGATTCCCATCTGCATCGTGTGTAGTCGCATTTTGCTGGCTTGATGGATCCATTTTTTCCTATAAGCTACTAAAACCCTCAACTAAAAAGGTCCAATACTACTGTGAATTGACAAACGGTCCTTCTCAACACATGGGTATGGGAACTACTGCGCGTGTATAGTCAGTTCGCTTGCGATGATTTTTCTCGCTTTACGTTAGGCTCCGATCGCTTCGTGTATACCGTACCGTGCCGTGGGTGGCTCGCTCAAGCTCGTTCAACATACCCGGCAAAACACAAAGAAGGCTGTAACGTCAGTGACCGGCGATTGATGGGGAATCCTGCTCGCTGATTGGACGGCTGTTCCGGTCAAGTCCCGGTCACTTTGCGATATAATCAATGAGTAGTGACGTCAACGCTGCTACGATTTCAGACACTCCTACTTTTTATCTCACTCCACCTCCCACTTTTCTCTTGTTTTCTTTTCTATCTTTCTCTCTCTCTCTCTCTCTTTCCCAGAGCCCTCTCCAAGTTAATAAATATACTCTTCATAATATCATAGGTGAATTCAGTCGTACTATAGTTATAACTTTGCAACGTCGTATTATTGAAACGAGAGGAGTGTAATATTGTTGAGAAACTATATTTGAGGCCTACGAAAGAAATCTATTATTATATTCATTTGATTTCTATTATTTTACAACCTTTCTAACCAGAAAATATATTATTGTAAATACGTAAACACCAATTTCTGTGAGCAACAAAAAAAAAAAACAACACTCTGATATATTCATGTAGTTTTATTTTGCTATTATACACCCCTCCCCGTTATTTTGTTTTGGTTTTAAATAGGCCAATGCATAACTTGATACGCTTAATTTATCATTTGATTGTATTTTTGATTGGTTTATTGTATTATAGGTTTAACCTCTCCTTAATCGTGAAGCAATTTCAAAAGATATTTCAAATGCGTGATTGCCATATATAAAACTAAACTGCAATTCTTTATATTCAATCATGATAAATCATAGACATTGTAATGTCTCAAAAGAGAGAGAAAACAAAACTTCGATTTTGTTGGAGGAAAATTTGCATTTTATTATCGCGCTTACACGAGCTGTTGTTTGTTGAACAAATATTAGTCATACAAGGCGTTTAAACTGCATAGAAACCGTGCAATCAAACTTGTCGAGAACGTGACACAACTTTGGCCCTAAGTAAATTACGTAAACAACTCATAAAAACGGCCAGGGTGTCCTAACATTTACACAATAAATTCGCTTGGTCTTTTGTGGGTCTAACTCGTTATAGAGTCGAATTTATTGTTGTTCATTTTTTATACGTTTTCGAACACCTCCAACAAGAAAAGACAAAGAAAATATAGGGTCTTAACCCTTTTTCTTCTATCATGTCTCTTTAGACTTCTCTTCAACTTGAGTATACATGGAGATATGATTTTTAGCCGTCCGCCTATATTATGATCTCACTTAAGATGGTGATCACTTCATCATCATTATTCATGCGTTCAATTACATTAATTTTCTTAATTTCAAGAAGATGGCAGATGATAACGACTTCTTTTATTTTTTATGAATACCAATACACGTTTTTTTTAACTTACGTTTATTATTATCATTTATTATCACAGCATAAAATGGTTTTGAGTGGCAGAGGACCTTTTACTCAGAGAGGGGCACCGTGATCAATTTTCAGGTGTTCCTACTTTAATGAGATAAACCTGAGCTATTGTTTGTCGCTTAAAATGTATCACCATAGGATGTTTACAAGGTTATAACATATTCCCCTACCAACATAAGCACAATTCTCTCGGGCCCTTATTGACGAAATTTCCTTGCAATTGTTCCGCGCCCCCATCTTGCTCTTAAGGACACATCTGCCGCTCTGACCAAAGAAAAGAAAATCGTTCGCACCCCCTCCTCTTTAAATTTAGCCCGATCGATTTATTACCCGTTGTCAATAAATACCTGGATTTCCTCCCTTGAAAGAGATCCATTTATTGTCCAGGATCTATTGTTAGCAGGCGATAGGACGATAGATTTATAAAGCCGTTTAATATCGATTTTGAGGTGAATGTGGTTTAGAGGTACACGTATAAAGGTAGGTGAGACCTGTCTGTTTTTCAATTTGGGTTTTGTCATTCAAGACTGCCGCCAGGTACATCATTCTGTGGCCAACATAGATCAGGGTCCTGTTTCACAAACTTCTTATCCATAACAAAATGGTAAATTTCTATGACAAATTTACTCTCAACCAATCAAATGCCAAGATTTCAGTAGCTTATAACATTTTATTGTGACTTGTTATTGATAACAAGTCATATGGAACAGGGCCCAGGGTCTTTACTAGTTTGGCGTGACTAAGCATTATTCTTCCGAATTTATTTTGACAGTAGAGCCCTTTCATTCAGTACTGCTCGACCAAAAGACCCTCTGAAAAATAGAAATAAAGCACATTTACATAACATATAAACCTGTATAAAAATTAACGATTAAAATGAACATATAGGGTCAAGTTTACCAGAATTTATAAGGTGAGAAAATGGAGTGAGTAAAACCATGAAAACAACAAAAGAGGGGAAATATACAAATTTTAAATATATTGGAGTAATCTTGACGCATAGTTCAGGGACCGAACTGTAATATCTTGCATCTCGTAGGCCCTGTCGAATATCTGTTATTTCACACAGACGAGAGACTGAAACAGTTTGGCCAAGCTTATGGCTTGTTCATAACAAAATTCTTCACTTTGTCAAAACGAGTCTGCGTTTGCAGACTATATTATAGTTCTTTCCCTGGACGTACCGGGAAATCGCTAGGCGTGGCTTAGCAACAAAGAGGCGGTGCTTTCGGTGACCTTTAACCCACACCGTTATTGAAAATGAAACCGTTATGATAATAATATTCCTTCTTCCTGTTTACAACCGTCCTGTTTTTATATGCCATTATCCAAACCTATAGTGAACCTTTTCCTAAGTGTGCAAGTCAATACAGCTTCCTATTGTTAGCTGTATATGCTCGTGTTGTTTCAGTGAGAAATACAATTGCACCTGATACGAAAACAAAACAGAAAAATTATGAAGTTTTATCTTGAATTCGACTACAAAAACAGATCGGCCTTGGTTGCTGTTATGAATGTATACATAGGGTAAGTAGGGGAAAATATAGGACTACTATCATGACTGTGTATACAAAAATAAAGAATGGTTATGAGTGAATAAGTATTGCCTATATTTATAAATGCAGAGGGAATACATGCATTTGTTGCTAACAAAGTGAACATGGTGAATGTTGGAACTTCCTTTAAAAAAATAATCATGAAATTGAATATTAAAAACAAAAGTTAAGTTCACTTTAATCTATCCCCCCCCCCGCCACATGCCCTCCATGCCTTATTATGTCCTTAAATTAGACTATTTGTCATTTGAAATGTTATTCCTTCGAGATCTCAGATTCCCTTCTGTTTTCCTATCCTCCGACATCTTCTAACAACCTATAAGTCTTCTATATATTTTGCTCTTCTGTTTGAATGAGAAGGCAACTGAAATCAACCATTACTGTAAAGTGTACTATAATAAACACAAAAGGTATCATATCGTGGGTCTGTCTCCTGCGAGTCTCGCACACACTGTTGCCATCGCGAAACAGGTGAAAGAGATAAACATGAAACTGAAATTCGAAAAAGGAGATTAAAAAAGGCCTCGGTTTATTATTTCAAACCCACGGTTGACACATTCATCAAATATAATGTCTCTCATTTCCTGCTCCAAACTACCGACATTAATACTGGTATAGTCACGAAGCTGAGCGTCCAGTCTACCCCCCCCCCCCCCCCCATCTCTCTCTCACTCTCCCTCTCTCTCTCTCTTCTCTCTCTCTCTCTCTCTCTCTCTCTCTCTCTCTCTCTCTCTCTCCTCTCTCTCTCTCCCTCCCTCTTTCTCCTTTCCTCTCTCCTATGATACTATCCCGGAACAAAAGGCATGTTCAACATTGTTGAACTTGACGACGACAAACTCTTAAAAGGTCAAAGGTTGCTAATGCCTAGGATGACAAAACATCACCTTTTGGCTCGAACAACTTCAAAGAGTTTGTGTGACTCACCCTGCAATCCCATCCAAGGCGGAAAGGGTGTGTATAGGATGGTGTCAAAGAGTGGCGTAGACACAGGGGTACAGGGGGTACAGGGGCGCGCGCCCACGACAAAATGGCGGAAAGGGAAGAGAGAGAGAAGGGGTTGTTGGCAGTGGCGTGATGAGCAAAAACTTTGGAGGGGGTGGTAGAAAAAAAATCCACACCATCACCACTCTTACATGCAGGCCCCGCGGAACGGCAGGGGTTTTAGGCATTTCATTATGGTCAGATGAGCAAATTTTGATACCTTATTTGTGACACTGGCAGGTCACTAATTAGCGTGGGGTCCAGGGGCGGAGCTCCCGGAAGCTCAGGGCTTTTAAATATTTAATAACGGTCAGGTGAGCATCCGGTGGCCCGCCTTAGGGCCCCTAGTGGGGTCCAGGGGCAAAGCATAAGCATATTTTTGTTTGACTGTAAATTTGGGCAATTGTCATTTTACACAAACGCATAAAAAAGTGTAATTTACAAGAAAGTTAGAAAAACCCGGAAAATCATGTTTTTCATCAACATTTGTAAATCACTTGTATCGACTTAGAGATAAACTAAGATTTTTTTATAAATTTTTTTTTTTAGGGGGGGGGGTCCAGTACGCCAGTGGTTGTTGGGAAGGCCAGCGTCAAAGTGAGACAACCCTTTCCAACACCCTCTGAAACTCAAGCACCTCGTTCTTTTGTATGTTATGACCCAAATAAGACATGTGCCCCCGACATGACACCAGTGGTCCACCACCCCATAACAAAAAAATAATGAATGGGCCCACGCTATACGCTATTAGTGTTGATTATTATGAGAAATGCTGACGAAAACAGGAATAAAATTGGTAAAAAATAAAGATAGAGAGCAAAACAACAACTCACAACTCACGACGAAATGAGAATAAAGCACAACATACATAAATGTCCCGTTATAAACGCTGTGATTTCGACAACTTGAGCTGTAATCTTCGTAGAATTAATGCGCAGTCGGAGATTTAGGAAAGAGAAGAAGAAAATGGTAAATATCTATTTAGTGCCATAACTGTGTAGGTTTCTCCAAGAAGTGACTGATCCTACCTCCTTTGTTTCTCACACAGGGTTAGGGACACAGGCCCAAAAGATCTCTAACGTTTTTCATAATTATGCCAATCTAGTCCACAATTTTGCC